TGTATGGATCACTTGGGTTGTTACCGACATCTGGTGAACATTTCATGTCATTAGCACCTCTAGTAATATATTTACTGAGAAAAATGGTGACGTGTTCAATACTTATTTTACCCGCTGTAGCTGATGAAACAGCTGGGCTGATGTGTTCCTGCTCACCTGCAGGAGGCCAGCGAGGCGTACCTGGTGGGTCTGTTCGAGGACACCAACCTGTGTGCGATCCACGCCAAGAGGGTCACCATCATGCCCAAAGACATCCAGCTGGCCCGCCGGATCCGTGGAGAGAGAGCTTAGATCCTGCCTGACTGCAGTCCTCCTCTTCTTCTCTTGTTCTTCTACCCCTCCCTCCCTCCGTTTGTCCCCACCTGTCCTCTCAGTAGACGTTAGGCTCGTTCTGATTCTGAACAGATAGAAATGTTGAAGTCTGCTCTCTGATAGATCGTTTTTTATTCTTCTGTCTACAGATGTTTTTAAAGTACATGTTTTGTGTGTGTTAGGAGTTTTGCAGACCACATGTGCATGCACACACATACTGGGACGTGTCTCGTGGGGTTTGGGTGGTGCTTTGAGCTCACCTGGTGTCTGACAGCTGAAGCACAGAGGCGCCAGGCCGAGGGGCTAGTCTGCTTAAGGGGAGCTGCAACTTCCACAGCACGGTGCTATTAAAACTAGTCCTGAGGCCTGTGGCTCTGAGCACCCCCCTGCCCACCTAGTCTGCCCCCCTCCTCCCAGCTCCTTCACCTGGAAGTAGCCTCTTTAAGCACTTTCAGAAACCACTTCAAGCTGGAACTGGTGTTTACCCTGAACCACCTGTGGAGACCTGTTCCTGCTCACAGTTAATCCGCTGTAGTTCCCATATCCGGCCAGCAGGTGGCYCCGCACACTYACTGTGACAAACCAAACAGTGGGTACTCACATGTTTGTTTGGACCGAGGATGTTGAAAAGATGAGCAGCTCAGCATCGCTCTGCTGTCCATCATTGTTCCTGTTCTTCATCTACATGTGCAGCAAAACTGCTGACTGCAGCCGTCTGTAGTTCACACTGAGCTGGTGTTTGTAAAAACCTGAGACCTGGATCCAAACAGCTCCAGAGGAAACAGGAACAAATCACAGCAGGGATGTTTGACTGTTAGCAGGCATGGTGGAAACCGGGCCTCAGAGCCTTCTGGCTGCTTTGGTGTCAGTTCTGAATGGACTGGAGCAGCACCAGGTCTGGTCTTTTAAACCTGGTGGGACCCGAGCTGTGACTCAGCGGACCACCAGGCCGCAGGATTTAAAAACACTCTGTAACTCTAGTAACATGGCTCCATCAGGGGTTTCTGAACCCTCAGAACTGGTTTGTGAAAGTAAGAGTTTGTGTGGACCTGCCAGTCCGGATCWTCCACACTAATCCAGATTATAGATCCGAGTTGAGGATTTGATTTGTCCTTCTTTACCTGTATGCTAAATAATTGCTGGAGGGGCATCTCTTCCATGAAACCATCAGAGTGACTCTAAAGCTGCTTTACAACAYCAGGAAACTGTGATTGTGATAAGAACCAGCAGAGGGCGCCAGCTCCCCATCGCTCCAGTTCTCACCTGTAGATCATCACCTCATGGTCCAGCTCAGTAGAAGTTGGTTTAGTAGAAGTTCTGCATGTTTTGGGTCTGTGTGTCTTCTGTAGTCTCTGTAGATCTGAACAGAAAAACTGTCCATTTCCTGAAATTTGTGATACAGATATAACCTCATAATTGTTTTCTTTTATATTTTTCTTATTCCTTGAGATTTTCAGACATATAATGAGCTGATCTTTGTATTTTCCAAATTTCTCATATGGTGGTAATAAATATGTTAAAACAAGTTGATTGAGCTTTGTGTGCAGTATTTGTCCTAAAACAACCTGTATTTATAAATGCTGTGGCTAAGTACATTTAGGCATGAAGAACTGAAGACAACTCATCAAAAAGAAGAGAAAGGATTTCTGATTTGAACGGGGCGTGGCTGGTGTGGGATCTGCATCAGCTTTGAAGACCCTCGCTGGTCCATCTGAAGTCTGCAGAACCCTGTCTGAACACAACAGCTCCTTCAAACAGGTGGGCTGCAGCCAATGAGGTATTTGACCCTTTGCATGGGATGTCGCGCACCTCAAAAGACTGCCCACTTCCTCACGACGGACGTCAAAAACAATCGTGATTATATGTTTTTTTTATAAAGACAATGTAGATCCTAAATCAAAAAAAATGAGTAGGTCCTCTGGATGGGTTCTTCTTTAGTGAAACGTTTCGTCTCTCCTCCAAGAGACTTCCTCAGTCTGATG